ATCAGCTTTAATGAGTAGGACTGAAATACTGTATAAGCGTTTTCATCTATTTTTATTGTTTCTCCTTTTGTTTTATAAGTCTGCATAAATCCTAGCTGGGAATCAGTGGAGGTGTGTGGCTGGCTGTGTTTGAAGATTGCCTGAGTAAGCCAACTTTTTTTTTTCCTGCTTGGGTGACAATATTTTGTGTTTGTGTGTATATGAAATATTAAGACCAATGCAGTGTGGATTTGAATGTGTTCGTCAGCAACTATTAATGACAGAAACTAATTACATAGCCAGTCTCAGTGCTAATGCATGTACAAATAATGCGACTATGGCAAGAGACCTCTGCAAACATTCAAAATAAAATGAAAAACCACAAGTCCTAATCCTCCTCTCCCTTGAGTCAACAGGAGTTTTGCCTTTCAGTGCAGTAGATCGTGCCTGCTGTTGCTGTTTGCTCTAACCCAGTGTCATCTCTGAAAGCCGTGAGCAGGTCATGGGCAAAACAGGAGAAGTGACAGGGGTTACTTTGTTCTCTGTCTGCTGGGACTCAGGATGATGCTGGTATAAACTGGTGCAAACTGGGGCTGGGCAGAGTCCTCGTGGGCTCTTGAGGGTCAGTCCCGCGTTGTGCTGTGGCAAGGTCAGTAGTATTTTGGAGAAGATAAACGTTGCACAAGTTTTGTCCCATGTTGGAGGCTGACAGACTTCATAAATAACTTCCAGGATTTTTGTGTAATCAAATTTTAATATAAAGTTAATTAAAATGTGATTTATTGCAGATTTTCTAATGCACAAAAGTTTAAAAATAATACCATAGTGACTAAAACTGTGTGTGTGCACTTGTTTAAAGCCTGGGCTACACACAGAATTCAGTGTGGAGCCTTGTAATAACTGAAATTTTACCTGATAAAGCAAAAGCATTTGGCTAAATCTTGGGAAGAACTTCTGTCTGTTTAATGAAGTGACTAACATCATTTGCCTTTCCATCGTAAATCTGATAAGTGGGAAAGTTGAAATCCTTTTGCCCCCTATATGTCAAAGCAGGGCTACTTTTTGGTTGTCGAGATGGTCTCTGTGGCTATTTGGCTCTACTTCATCTGTGCCCTCTTCTCTTCCAAGTGTGGGAGTGCTCTTCCCCATTAAAGGCAGTTACTGAACTCCCCTAGGACAGCGTAGCCTTTGCTACAAAGCATTGCGTTACAGGGTCAAAAGAGGACATCAGATAAAAACCGAATCACAGCCCCTACGTTCCCAGGTAATTCAGTGTATTAAGGAAACAGAGGAATTTCTGTGGGAGCGAACGGCAGCTAAATACCTGTTAAAACTAATGGCAGGGCTCCCACAGTCTCAGATGGTGCGACGGGCTGCCCATAATTCAGCTGCAGCTATTTCACCACTGCTGGTTCAGAGAAGGTTACTGTGAGGTTAGTTTATTACAAGCATAGTTATAGGGAGGAATTTGGGGGAAGAAGATAAGCTTCAGGGTGAGACGAAACAGCAGAATGAGTCGGTCCCTCCCTCAGGTGGGGAGCATGTGGGCTGGGACCCAGTTACTGACCGCTGCGATCATCCAGAGAAGGGAAAACCAACTACTTCCAGAATCTCTGCTTTGGTATGAACGCTCATTTTACCAAAGCAATCTAAAGTTGTTTGAATGCTAAGCTTGGTTGTGGGTTGTGTGTGTGTTTTTTTTAATTTATTTTTTTATGTGCTTGTGACAAATAATGGTTTTAGCTTCAAAAGTGATGGTACTACATTATATAGTTATAGGTTGGATTTAGGTCTTAAAAATAAAACAAACAGCTTCAAAAGCTTTAACTGAAAAATACTGATGGTAGGCTGCTCTTCTTTTATATCACTTTACTTGCTGTATTATCTGTATTCCTTCCAGCAGTGCTTTAAGTGTCGTGCCTAACATCTGACATGTTTCATTTTTCCTGTCATGCAGCATTTCAAAAAACAACAACAAAAAACCAACACAGTAAATTATTTGCATAATGCATGGGATGCTTTCTTTGGAGTAAAATTGCGCTGTGCTTCAGGGAGCAGCCTCAGCCTGCCGCTCAGTGATACTGTCCTGGTCACAAACCAGATCTGTCACCCCCTGATGAAGTGTTTCATGTCTAAATTTAGTGATGGTTTCTGTGGTCCACGCTCGGCCTGTGATCTCGACTGTTCCCCTGCTGCTGCTTTTGGTGTCTTTCCTAGAGATAAAGGTGCGACTGAAGCCCATGCAGATGGATCCGAGCTAGTTGTAGTATGTCTGGTAGTGAGCGCAGGGAGCTCAGCACGGACAGGGAAAGCTTCCCTAGAAAGTCTGCTGGGCATATAATTAGGTGGCTCGTCCAGAGTGAGCTGCATGAAGTGGCTTTCAGCCTAATTTAACTAATTAGGTTATCTTAAGTGAGTTTAAGCACAGCTTTGGCCCTGACGTAGGCGTACCTGAGGTGGAGATGCAGGCAGGGAGCTGCAGGCAGGGACCTGGAGCTGCAGGAGGATCCCAGTCTACACAGGCTGTATTATAAGAGAACAACATTGAAATTAGTCAAATACAGAGACTACAGCTGCTGGGAGGATAGTTATTTGCACTGTGGATGTAACCATATTTTGGAGCTGGCAAATGATGTTAAGTCAAATACTCCAGGGGTCGGGCCTAATTAAGATGTTGGTACCGGATTGTGAACTGATTATGCGGGAAAAGTGAGCCCTGCATCATTATTTGCAAGTGGCTGTGTGCAGGATCAAGCACGCTGCTTCGTGCAGGGGCAGGAGCCGTGACACACACCGTGTGTGTTGTGTGAAGTCGGGCTAACGCCACCCGGCCTGAACAGAGCAGCAAGGAGCAAAGGGGCTGAGGCAGAGTTGTGAAAGCTAATTGAATAACGACTTATTTCGGATGAACTGGTGTTCTGCTGGAAGGTATTCTGCCAGCAAAGAATGAAGCTGAATTTGTCAAGTGCCTTATTCATTGTAAATAATTCACTCTGCTCCAGTTGTGCTGCGCAGGCACTCTGCAGCAGCCTCACAGCAAGGCCGGCCTCCGCCTGGTGCCGGTTCCAGAGCCGAAAACCCAGCAGAGCACCGAAGTGCTTTGAAAGGTGCCCCAACTAGCAACCAGCCTCCAAAAGTTACTTATGTTCTGGTAATGCTGCCTCTGTTGTAAAAACATATGAAATATCCTGTGCTGAGACACAGGGAACATTCTGGGAAGCAGCATCTGAGTCCTCAAAACGAGGTGAGCCGGGCCCACAGCCCAGTGACAGCCTGACGGCCCTGCTGCAGCTCCTCCTGCTCTCTGCCTTTACCTCTCCTCCCCTTCAAAGCCCCGTGGCCTGAATTAAATTCCTCCAGGTCATCTTCATAAATAAATCGCAATGATTTACAGGCATTTTTGTAGGGGCCTTGCTCTCAGGCTGAGAAACAGAATGATTAATTCTGCAAAAGCTGTTTTACGCAGGATTTCTCAAATCTTAATGACGCTTAATTTCAGCCAAATCATTTCTCTTCAGTCAAATTTTGGAGTTACTGAATAACTTATTTGAACCCTCTGTGCTTCAGAGCTTCCTGGTAGAGAAGACAGCTCTGTACAAGTGGAGAGCAGGACACCGTGTCCTGGTTTCACGGAGGCAGCCCATGTCACTTAGTGTGCTGTCCCTCTTGGTTTTCATCAGGGCATTCAAATGACCCAGTTTTCTCCTGCTTTGCCGTTGTCCTCCTTCCAGCTTATAGGTATCGGTGATGTTTAAAGTCATCCTCCTTTAGGAAATGTCAGCTGCTAAGGTGACGGGACAGGTAGTGGAAATTGCTAATAGAGAAAAGCATGCAAAAAGGGCTTCTGAGGAGGCAAGTGGTGTGGGGAGGTGGCAGCTGAAATAAAGGTGTGAGTAACAGCGGTGGTCGTCATCCCATCTTCGGACCTTATCCATGACAGGGAAAAAACCCTGCTACTAGTACTGCTTAATAAACACAATATAATCAGAACCTATTATAGCCTAGTTCTGCTTGAAATTCAAGTGGTTTGGACTGGGGTTCATTTTATATGTGCCTCGAAAGAAAGTTAATGTGTTCCCTACTTCCCCTTCCCCCTTAGTCTATACTGTATCTTAATGAATAACAGGCTTAATCACTCTGGTATCAAGATAGCCTTTTTACAGCTATGCAAATGTTCTTTGGTATATAATTTGTACATGCTTCACTCATCTATTAGCATTGTTCTTTCTAAATGAGAAAATGCAAATGTTACACCAAGGGCCCCATCTTCATAGCTTACTGAATATAATTCCTGACAGCAACATGAAGCTGTTTAGCATAATTTTCCTGTTAATAAACTGCCAATTACAGTAATTTAGTTCTTAGCTTCCGAAGACCAAAAGGTATACGGTGATTTCCAGCCCCCTCCCAATTAATGTTTCAGTTTATTATTTTGGTATGTCTGAGAAAACAGAAAAATGGAGCAGCCTCAGATGTTTGATACAAATGCAACTTCCTTTCACTAATTCAAAAGCTTTTCTGCTCTGAGAGGCAAAATGCAGTATTGAGGTTCCACACTCCCCTTACACATGCGCGTTTGTATGTGTACACCACTAAGAACGGCATCAGAGGTATCTGTATTACAGGCGAATGTGAGTCAGCTTGGAAAACTACCAAATTAAACTCTGTAAAAGCTGCCTAGAAACACCTGCCAGCAATGAACAGCTTTTTTTTTTTTTTTTTTTTTTCTCCCAGTGACTTCTGTTTGTTGTGCAAATGCTTCCCAAACTCAGACGGTTACACAGCACTTTATTAAAGTCAGTGGAAAATACTGTGAAAGAAGGGGGGATGTTTAAGGAAATGTTTGTAGTTGCTAGAAAAGGCTCAGAAGTATTATATCTAGAAGCAATTATGTTTTGAGCAGCTCTTCATGCACAGTAGTTTCTGTTCAGAGCTCTTCTCCACCTTTCTTATTAAAGGGAATTTGCATGAAAACAATCTTTGTTTCTTAAGAGTTTATCTGATCTTCCTCTTATTTCCAGCTCCCTGCTCCATCTGCTCCTGAAATGATCATTCCACATGATACAACAGAACAACTTCTGAAGCAAATTGGACTGACTTGAGTTGAGGAATAATCAAGAGGAGATCTCGGGAATGAAAGGTCTTTCTTTCAATGTGAGTATTGCCAGTGGGTGAATGTGGGGAACGGGCTTTTGATGTAGGGAGATACTGAGGAAAATAACCTAGCTAGATGGAGCCTTTCAGGTGGTTTGTTTGGGATACTGGCTTTTTCCCCTCCTATTTGCAGGTAGCTCCACCACTCATACTGTGTTTTGTAATCTATTATTTGTTTCAAGAATATGCCCACAGATGCCATGAACAAATTTTGTCTCATGTAATTACATCTCAAAAAAAAAAAAAGTGAGAGTTATTGCATCCTTCCCACAATCACCTGCCTTTATCAGCCTCAGCTGAGCCTCCCGTAGCCTGCAGGAGGACAGAGGCAGGCTGCAGTGATTAGACCCTGACCGTAATATTTATTAGACTTTCAGGAGTCAGGTTTGGCAGAAGAGTTTTCATTGGTTGTGTAAATACTCACTTTAAAGCCTGCTCTGGCTTCTCTAAACACCTGGACTGGGCTATTTCAAAGGACTCAGCATTGGTGTCACTGGTCTAGGTAATGAAAATAAATTGACTCCTGAGGAAGTACAGTTAGGTCAATGCTAAGCAGTGATTTAAATTCCACCTTCCTGCAAGCTATGTTTAGAAATCAAGCACAAAAGCCCACTTGGTGCCGTCACCAAGTCTTACTTGCCCAGGCACCTCTTGGTGCTTGGCAGTGTCTCAGCTGAGACCTCCACCACCTGAACCCAAATAGAAGAAATAGCTGGCCCTGCTTGCTTGCTTTTGGTAGCCACCAGAGCAGCTGGTTTGCCCAACTGGCACCCACTGGCTTGGTGCCTTGCTGGTGTAGACAAGGGGGTTGTTCTGCTCAGGGTCTGTGGCTGGATGTAGGATCCTGCAACACTACCCACATGAGAACCGTGCCCATCTTTGGAGGACGTTCAGTATGAGCCAGTTGCTATAGCAAGGCATGGTCTTTGCTGAGAAATTTCATCTGCTCTGTGAAACAAATCCAGGTCTGAGGACCTTATGGGAGCAGGGAGCATCCTGTTCAGCTGTTTGTGTGTCTTTGTTGTTGATGGCATTCGCCTTCTTGGCCAACTCCTCCCTGGTGCGATGCCTCAGGCAAGGGCTCAAACAAGAGAGGCTCCTCCGATGCTTTGAAAGCTAAATTGAAACAACATTATTGAAGTTATTAAAGTTTAAGAAGGTGCAAGTGTAAGTGCCAGCTAGTTACTTTTTGATAAGTATATGCTATTAATAGCACTTTTAAAAACTCAACTCAAGATCTGCAGTATAGGTATTCTTCAAGACACTCTTGACTATTATGAGATTAATGGATAGGGGACAGTTTGGAACTGAAACATTAATTTTAATCACATAGCTCGGTTTGTATTAATGAGAGAAGTGGGCGAATCCTATAGAAAGGCATGAGAATATGTACCTAAGAGGCATATGCAGTGATTATGCACTTTGTTGGAAAATTATTGCCAACTCTGAAAATAACTGACAGCCGAATTTGTCAGATGGACACTTGGAGAACACAGGGCAGTGCAGCAGTACATACAAAGGGATGGCCGTGCCACTTGTCTATTAGGTTAAGCAAATTCTGAAATAAATCTGAGAAGTGAAATAATTGTATTTCTTCCCCCTGGAGAGCATTTTATGTTCACACTGGGAGTCTGCTAGGGAATATTTGCCCGTGCTTGCACAGTCTATGAGGGCTTACAACCATGTTACGTTGCTGGTTTTTATACACTTGAGTATTCAGTTAGAGCTGAATGACTGCGATTAATCACATCATTTTTTAGTACCTGTGGTACCAGTTGTTTTGTTTATAGACTGGAGACCTGGGGCTCTGTGGTATTTCCTTGTTGGCCTCGAAGCCAGTGTGTGCTCTTCCTTCCCAGCCTGACCTCTCGCTGTGAGCTCATCGCTGTAGCCCAAGGCTGGAAAAGCCTGACAAGGGGCTGCCCTGGCTCCAGTGTCAGGTTATTAAATGAAGTGAGGAAAGCTCTGCGTGGGGGTGACACAGCTGGGGGCACTGCCTCTTCACCTCTGAGCATCACGTCTATAGGGTACCAGCCTGAGGACCAGGAGCCCTGTGCACACTGCTCACATTGCTTCACTCGTCAGACAGCCCAGAGGTGATTTAACATGATGGGGTGGGATGAGCTTTCATCAATAGCAAGCCTACAAATGTTAGTAGTTATAATTAGGAGATGTGCTAACCCTCCTATTAACCTGATTGATGGGAAGGCTTGATTAAGCAGAAAACTGATTTTTCCCCAACTGGCTGTAACAGAAGATCAGTTTGCTTTGAAATGGGAATTATAAGGAGCGAAAGCTTTCTGTTGTCCCTTTAACCGATGAAAACTGGCTAGGTGCATCTTCAAATGTTTATAGTGAGGAAAGAAACCCCAAAATGAAGATGTGTGTTCTAGGCAACAATTTTTAGTCCTACAGTCGGGGCTACAATGCAGAGCAGGGATGGACAGGCCCTCTGCATCTGTTCCAGCGCCGAGCAAAGCTTACTGACACTGCGCCATTCTCAGTGGCTATCAAATTTAGGGCATGTCTGTCCTCCCCAAAGGACAAGGTCATTTTAAAACTGGGAGCAGGAGAACCACATAAAAAGCTGATTATACCGGTGAACCAATACAGGCGTGTAATTTGGGACCCATGCTGGTATTTGCACAGTCCCGAGCTCTCTGTACCACCTTGGGTCAATGCTATTTCCAACGTCTCTGTAGTGTCCTCCATGGTGCTGCGAAGATGTGCCCTCGCTGACCTAACGGAGTGATAAAGAAATCTGCTCTGTTTAATGCAATTCTGGGGGAAAATGGCCACTTTTGAAGAAGAAAATGGTTTCTGCTAAAGGTTTACCGCCGTGCAAATGCAGTGGTGATGCAGCTGTAGTGAGGCTGAATGGCTCTTCACAATGCAAAGTTTCCGAGCTAAAGAAGAGCTCGTGTGCCTGAAAGCTTTTTGTTCTCCAACTACATTCACAGGGTTAATAAAAGATTGGAGCTCTCCATGCAAACCTCGCTGCCTGTGCCATGAATTGAACTCCTGTGTCCAAAAGGACTTGATGTTGACCTTAAAAAACTTGAAAACCTGTTAATATTAGGCACCCTGGGATTGATATATAGAGCTGAGTTGGATCATGTTTTACCTATACGCAGGCAAACAAAGCTCTGTAACATAATCAAAGGGCAAAAATTAGCTCTAAGTAGATGCCATAGAGCCACAATGATCATTATTAGATGTCACTTTGTCTCATTGTTATTTGCTTATTATTTGAAGCCACAATAATATTCAAGTCACCCTCACTAAACATACAGCACTGTATTTTGACAGCAATTCACAAACGTGAATTAAACCGAACATTTCTCTAATACCAACCTTTCCTGAACCTCCCTGCAAATGGAGATTAAAGGCAAAGAGAAGCATAGTGCAGTTCAAGCATATAAAAGCCTCATTGTCAGTCCAGGACTTGGGGAAAAAATAAATAAAATTGGACCTTTCATTTGTTGCAGACCCATTAATAAATTATCACAAGTGACTTCTGTGGCCTGTGCCCTATCACTTGGATATTATACTAATATGGGTAAAAGAGAAGGATCAAGAGGAAAATGTCCAAAAGGACCTTGCAAAGCTCTCTGAAGGTGGGCTTAAAGTGAGGGAGAGGATCTGGGCTAATGTGCTGGAAAAAAAGAAAAAGAAAAGGAAAATTGTACTCTAAGGTAATCTTATATCTCACCACTTAGCTGACAAAATGCACGTGATGCAACTTCCAGGGGTTATTTTTGCATAAAAACAAGTGCAAGGTGGGAATCAACACACAGCAAAATAAGCAGCACAGCAATGTGGTGACAAACAGCAAATACAAAGTGTTGAAATGCGTTGGGTTTTATATATCAATATATATAAATAGATATTTGCAAGGAAATGAAGCAGACCTCCTTACAGGCCATGCATTTGTGACTGCAGCTGGCTTTCAGAGCGAGCTAAAGCCCAAAGCTTGGCAGGTGCTGGCTGGGGACAGCGCCACGGGCAGGCTGTAGGACTCAGCTGTGCCAGAGCTGACGGCAACACACCAAGCACCTGGCAGACCCAGTCGTTTTACAGAGTCCTTCACATGCAATCACTGCGCTTGTACTCCTCTGAGTTTTCAACATGCAAAACTCAAATATAGGAGGGTTGGTTTTTGTTTTTTTTTGCTGAAGTCGCAGGAACTCGTGAGTGCAGACTTAATTCCCCCAAATATACAGACAAAATACTCGCTTACCATCTTAACGATCCCTCTGGGAAAGCTGGCCAAGTCAGACAGTAACGTTCAGTAAATCCTTGTTATCTATGCTTGCTTTGCTAATGAGCCTGAGTATCGTATTTAAATCCCTGTAGTTGCATCTCATATATCGGCTGGTGCAAAAATAAAATATTTTCGTTCGGCATTTGGCGTATATCATGGGCAGCTCCGCTGTGCTCCAGAAATGCCTCTCCTGTTATTAGCACAGCGCAAGCCTTCGAAGGGTCGCTGTGATGAATAGGATGGTGGAGGCCATGGGAGAGCAACATTTCAAACAAAAAATGGTACAGCTATTGGAGGGTAATTGAGATACCGTGTGTTTACACAGGTCTGTCTTGGAAATGCTCCTTTTGTGAATGCTAAGTTTGATTAAGAGCTTTCCTTTTTGAATCAGGGTGAAGGTGAAGTCAAATAACAAAGGAGGCTGGAAAAATAAAGCAGGACATTTCCAGTACAGGCCGGCCAGTGGGGAGCTGTGGATATTGGTCAAGGTAAGAAGGATGCAACTCCATTGTGGAGGGGGATTTCTTACGCACCTTGTGTGACTTTTATCACAAACCATTTCTTTTGATTGAATTTGTGCTGTGTTATGCAGAATATTATAAGCAATGTTGTGCTGAAGTATTATTTATAGTAGACAAACTTCAAGAACAAGCATTTGTTGGACAAGGCTCTCCTTCACCTAAGTGTTTTGCTACTTTCTCAAGCTGAGCTCAGAGGGACAAATTAATATTTGTAGATCTGTGGAGGTCTGTGTCCCCTTCAGGTCAGTAGTAAAATCAACAGTCTTCAACCAACACTGAGGTCGAATTTTGGGAGATGTGATTGCTGCCCAAGTCCTGAGCTGGGGTTGCAGTGGGGAATGCAATAGGATTTCAGAGGAAAACCAGGCAGACAGCACAGAGAACAAACATAGTTTTAGCTGCCAACCTTTGGGGATCCTCCTTGACTGGACCGGAGCAAATGGTGAGAGTGGTTATGAGGAGCTGCTCCCAGTGCTCGCGGGGAAGGTGTGCTTTAAAACAGGTTGTTGCTTCTGGAAGCAGGGACTTCTCTTTGTAGGCAGGGGTTTTTATGGCCTGCTGCCTCATTATCTCAGTAACTTATTACAGTTTTATGTCTGTGTTGTGCTGCAAATGGACTGCCCATAATCCCCTTTTTATGGACTTAATCTGGCTGGTGATAAACGCCTGCAGGGTGAGGGAAGCATCTTCCCCTTGGTGGTGGGCACACAGTGCGAGCAACTTTTGGCAAGCTGAGCCCCCCCCTCCTGCCTGTGCTTTAAAATCCCCTCTGATCCCACCTGACTTTAAGGAGGTGTTGGTATTGACATTTCAGTCTGAAATACAGCCGCCTGTTTTCTCCTGGAAAGATCAGCGCCAGCTGTCAGAGCTGCAGCCTTCTGCGTGTGCACAGCGATGATCAAATTAACATCCCTTTAGGTACCTGGAAGTTAACGTCAGATGAGCTCCAAAAACAGTTTTTGGAGATTTTGGTGGCTTAGGCACTTACTGAGGTAGGCTGGATGGATACTGGAGATTGTCTTCTCAAACGTTCTGTGAAATAACCGTTATAATTTCACATCCCCTGTACACACAAGCTAGTTAATTTGTTTTCAGTGAACATTTGTATGAGTGAATTATTCACCCATCTGCAATATTTATCTTTACAATGGCTAGACAATTCAGCCCTGTGTGGAGATGTGCCTCTGTGTGAATTCATAAATCCCCGATCACTGGCAGGACATTTTCTGCAGGAGCTGATGATCTATTTATTCTCTCTTTTCGCCTCTCCAAAGGTTAGCCCGGGCCCTTTTGCTTTGACACGAACTGCAAGCAAACAACTTGTATAATATTTTACTACTTCCTAGTTTGAATATAAAGCTCTGACAATGCTCTCTGTAACTCCAGCTTGTCTGTTTCACAGCTCTCTTGGCTGATTATAAGGCAGCAATTTTATGTGATTTTTTTCCTCGTGCGCAGCAGATGTAATGAGCAGAGAGGATTATGTGATGAGCTGAAATGACTGAGGTACGTAAGGAATTGAAAATGCAGATTCGGAGCCTTTGGTGCTATTAGCGGTCAGTTTGGAGCCTGCTGGCAGAGGGCTAACTCTTTTAGGGGTGAGCTGCTTCTGTTCAAAGGTGTTTGGAGCTCTGGGATGGGAAGGCAGCACGAAGAGGATACAGAGGGCCATAAAATTGCCCGTAAGGATATTGGAAATCAATGTAAATGTAGGTGCAGATGCATGCTGCTCGATCCCCCCGTTGGTGCCTGGGGAATCTTGATGGCCAAAACTGGCCTTGCTCACCGCAGGGCTGGGATTGCCCTGGGCTGGGGTTATCTGCCAGGGAAGCTGCTGGGATGGCTCTGTGGTTTGGTGGCCACTGCTTTTCCTAGGGGATACCAGGAGGAGTATTAGTTGCAACGGATAGATGGTTCAGAAATGGTTCAGAAAATTCTTAATGAGAGTCTGGGTTTTAAAGACCAGCAAGGACCTCACTTAAATGGCATTCCTCTGTCATCATTTAGGAAGCTCTTCTTTGTTGTGGAAGACCCACGATGACAAGCTCCATTTTACTGGTCTGGAGATCTGGGGCTGGATCCCAGCTTGGATGAACTTTATCAGTTCCAGTCAACCGAGCAGTAATTTCTATAACTTGAGGGAGTACTGCTGAATAGCCGTGTCTCTGAAGAGCAAATTTGCCAAAGTATTTACTTAAGAAAGTGCATCCTTTGGATAGACCAATATTTACTGAAGTGCTAAGGATTGAGTAGCACACTGCAATGTGCTGTGTGAGTGAGAGCTTTCCCTAACAGTCACCAAATGTGAGTCTCGCTTCTTTTTCTTCTAACTGCTGAAATGTGGCATACCAAGGATGATCCCAGAATTCCTCTCCTAAGAATCTCTTCCCTGATGCATTTTCTTTAACCCTTCCCAGAATCAGAAAAGCATGTTACTCTGCAACAAGGGAGTTTTCTTTGTCTGCACAGGAAGGGCTGTATTTGCCCCAGCTTTAAATTGTTCTGAAATGACTCACAAATCTTACCTTGAAAGTGAAGTGGTTCACTACATTGAAGTCTCGAAAAGAAAGCAGCTAAAATGCTGTAACCTTTTTCCACTGATTTTAGGATTTAAGTTCTGCTAATGCATGTGTTAATGTCTACGTGAAGAATAAAGTGCTTTACTCTTGAACTTTAATACCTGAAAGTGAGAATAGTGGAGCTGCAGTTACAGTCACACAGCAGAAATGATCGTACCCACCTTGGCTCCAACTCTTAAATACACAGAAAATAACCCGGTACGGAGTAGACAAGTCTTCTCCTGCTATGGGAAAGGCCCAGAAATGGAAGGGTCTAAATGAAAATTGCCAAGGATGAATTAGACAACAGCTTCCTGACCTGTATAATTTTGTTATCTGAGCTATAGGCTGTGGTGTGCGCCCCTCTACGCTGTTCTAATTAGAAGGCTAACTAACGGGGTGCTGTGACACTGTTAACAGGGAGACTGAAGTTTTCGGTGAACACACAAATTAGCTTTGAAGTTTCCTGCAGTCCTAAAGATTTTATGTTAATTTTCCATTTCTGCTAGGGCATATTTGCATTTTGCATGACAGTTTAGCTCTAATCATTTGTCAGTTAGTGCCAATCTGTTATCACTGGGGTAGAGCCACCGACTTAGAAACCTTTTAATCCTGCTGTGCCCTCTGTCTTAAATGGGCCTCCAGGAGATGGGTCCTGGGGACTGAACGTGGGTATGGCAGGGCAGGAGAGGCATTAAGGCATCAGCAGGACCCAGGGAACTGCCCAGGCTGTCTGCAAAATGCTGTAGGCTTAGCATCAGACCAAAAATGCATTGCAAGAGCGTGTCACCTCTCCCTCTTGTTCTCCCATTTCCCTTTCCTGTACAGAATATGCTGACCTTAAGCAGGAGGGCTTTTGTAACCCCTGGTTTTGGCAACAGTTGGAGAGGTCTGTTGGTGCTCACCAGAAATACCGGTTACACGAACAGCTCTTCCTTTGGTAAGTGCCTTCAGAAACGAAGGAGCACTGAGGTTAACTTCGGAGCATAAATCCTCTGGGTGTCTCTGCTCTCCTGCCAGGTCCAGTTTTTTGTCTGCCTTCCCCTGAGCTGCCTGCACCCACCAGCAGGGCACAGACTTCCTTGGCTTTTCCAGACTGTCCCCTTTGACTCAGTCCCACCTCTTGGGGTGCCCGTGCATCGCCTCACCCCACAAGTTTTAACGAGGCAGCAGCAGACCTCAGACCCCAGCACCCCACTACGTTACTCCAGCCATGTCCAAAGCTCACTTCTGTTATTTCCCTCAAAAACTAACAAGGGTTTGTCTTTCTGCCTAAGCCCCCCCAGCCCTGCAATGCAAAAGTCTTTCTCTAGACCTTTGGCCAAAGCCTGAATCTCTCCAGACCACGTATAACCAAGGTGTTTCCTTCCTTGCAATGCCTCTTCTTCAGCAGCTCCTCTGCAGCCAACCTCTCTGCTGCTGCAGCAGGAAAATGTCTCCTGGCCCCTTCCTGTGGGTGCAGCCCTATCTGTCACCTGCACGTTTCCCTACCTCACCGTGCAGTCTGTTTGCAGACTGTGGAACAGTTCACACGAGCTCGCAGTTCCTCCTTCCCACAGCCCTAATTGAATTTTAACCAGCTGCTGTCACAGCCCGGGCCTCATTTGTTAGCCAATTCCTTGTCCAATTGATTATTTCACTAGCCTTGCTGTTTTAACAGCCTTATTGAAGTTCATGTAAATCATATCTCCGATTTCACTCCTGGGCTCTCTTGCTGTCCCTTTCGCGGAGATATGAATCAAACATTAATATTGATCAGCATTTAATGCCAGACACAAAGGAAAATTTGCTTTCATGTAATATGAAATATTAATAAAACATTAATGAGGGCAAAGGAGAAGGCTGCAAACATGATAGCCAGCTCATCTCTTTCCTCCAGCTCTAATACGGCATTAAGACGTCTGCATTACGTGGCGGCTGGGGCTATCCAGCCTCCATTGAAATTTAGATTTGATTCCTAAGTCCAGCTTGGGAAAAGTCAAGGGACTCACCACTCGAACGGATTGACTGAGGCATCTCAGGTGCTTTTATCCTCTGTACACACAGGATGGCTCCTCAAATACTGTACTCTCAATTTTAACATCAAACGTTTTATCAGAGTTGGACTGTGTTAATCGCATTCAAATGCTGTGACTCATTTAACCGGACACTTTACCCATATTCTGGTATCCATTCTGCATGAAGCCGTGTTTCTGATGGTGTGAACTGCTGCTCAAAAAGCAGCAACTGAGATCAAGTAGTCAAAGGGACTTCGACAGATGAGTCCCAGTTTTGATTTTGGATATTGGGCTCGCTTTAGGCTATTCCTTAGGAAATTCTGATGTAGAACTCAAATGCAGTTAAGTGCCTTCTCATTACTCTCCTATTAGCTCAAGAGTGCAGCGAGAAGGAGAAAATCGTGAGTTCAGGTGTAGAGAAAAGAACCAGAAGTTAAATGCAGCTGAACGTGCTTGGAGAATTTGAAAATAAAGAAGGCAAAATGAGATAATGAGATGTAAAACGTGCCTTTAATCTGAGTTTTAGCCACGGCAGGAGATCACATCTGAGTTGCACCAAGACAGGCAGTGCTCACTCTCTGCTGGGTAAAGGTAATCAGGGATAAAGCAATAAGAAAATAGAAGGGTAGGGAAAAAAAAAGAAAAGAAAAGAAAAGAGGGAAATATAGGATGAGAAGAACGGAAGACCAAGAGATGACTGAGAACACAAGCACGTCTATAAAGGAAAAAGACGTCAGAGTACTGTGTTGTGAAATTAGTTTGTTCAGTGCAGATTGCAGAGTGATTCCACTGGATAAATCCATTTACTTGGGTATACAAAGGCATTGCTGGATGCAATTCCGGTGCTTTGGGTTTGATGCTCTCCTAGGTTATGCCTCACTTGGATGTTGTTTATGCAAGAGAGAAGCAGCTGTAATCTGAGAGCAATTGTCAACTAATAACAGGATAGAAGAAAAGCAGGGCTAAGAAGATTGAGAGCCACCTAATCTGGAGATCTGTCATTGTACTTCAAACATCAGTTCTTGCCAGGAAGAAGAGCCACTCTGACCCTCTTACCCCAGGCTGGTTTTTCACAATGAACTTTGAAGATGTTTCATTGTTTACCAGCATCTGCTGATCGTTTGATCTCAAGTTAAGTGTAGCCCCTGCTGGATTTACGAGCTGCTGAAAGAAAGAGAAGCAGAGTTATATTTCTACCACGCCATAGAGAACTAGAGATGCTGCAGTCTTCTAAATCATCATCGCTTGTTAGGAAAACTTTCATTTTCACTGCTGCTGGATGACAGTTTGTTTTAATTTTGCTTTCTAAGTATCCTCTCCATCAATGACCTTCACCCTGTGTAAGTGGGAATATAAAGCAATTGACATGAAATCAATATTAATTCAGGAGCGTGTAGGCCTTTTTCCTCCTTTTGTAACAGATACTTATCAGGGTGTTACAACCTGGCCCTCTGAAGCCATCGAGCTTCTGAACTCAGGACTGTGCAGCACCCAGAGGGATGCTCTGAACAACCACAGGCTGTGTTGTGTGTGCTTGACTATGGACCAAGAAAAAATGTCAGTTTTGCTGTTGTGTTTTATCAAAAAAGCAATCACTGCACTTATTTCCAAGACTCAGACTAACCAGTCCAAACTTCACAGCTGGTTCACTCTGAAGTTTTTTCAAGAACTGCTTGGTTTGGCCAGTGTTTGAGTAGTGCAGGTCTGACACAGTTTTATTTTGTTTCATTTTAGGTAGAAGTGCAGGTAGATAAAAATATAGTGCTTTTGTTTGTATTTAATGGGGCTAAAACAGTGTTTGTCACTTGTGAACCTAGGATCAAGACTTAGATTTTCCATCTGCTACAGCAGATCAGATTTTAGTGGAAGGTCAAACAGATGTTGCTGGGATTTTATTGAGATTTATTGAGAATACTGGTGATGTGGGAGACAAAAGCTGACACGTGGATCAGTGTGGCGATGGAGTCACGGCAGGATGCTACATCAGCTGGCTCTGCTGGAGACTAAGCTATGAACAGTTTCATATTTAAAGACGAAAATATGCTATTCCATGTAGATTTGAAACAGGAAACACTGGAAGGATTTCAGGAGAAACTTGCTTTGCAAAGAGCAATGGGATAAGATGATTTTAGGGTCAACGTTTTAGGAGATGGAAGGAAAATGAGGCTGTGGTGCAGATAACAGTGGAAAACCTTCCAGGCTTTTATCAGGAACTAACACAAACAGCCTTGAACACAAGGGCTTGAGCTCAGGAGATCTGGGGTTTATTTCTGACATTGCAACTTATTTGAAACAGTGAACGAGCCTTTTTATTGCTCTCAGCCTCAGTTTCCCCTGCTTAAAAAAGGCAGTCGTGGGACGACCTCCCTTTATAACATACGTGTTATGTATTTTTTAAGTGTTCAGTAAAAGTTTAGCTCTATTCGTTGCACCTATGAAAAGCTTTTCCAGTAGCCCTAGCCAATGATGAAAACAAGAACACATCATCCAGGGGGCTGGATGCTCAGCGTGTCTCTTGTCAGTGTGAGGAGAGCAGCAAGCTGCAGCTGCTGTGCACATCTGCCCTCTGCATCCCGTGCCTCTGAGAAGAATGAAGGATTTCAGATTGCAGGGCTGTTAATCTGGTACCTTTAACCAGGTATCAATAAAAAGAGGGGAAAATGATGAATCATCAGTCTCGGGTGCTTGTTAAGTGTTCTTGTTAGACACTATTTCCAATGGTCCGTAGCTTTACCCTGCCAAGAGTAATTCTGTTCATCTTCCTGGCTGCCCAGCAGATGAGCAGAGTGACTGACAGCAGAAATATTCCAAAACAGGGGATATTAAGCAGGCACAGTGATGACTGATGTCTGCTGTTCTCCCGGTGGAGTTATCACTCCTGTGATTTACTTTGACTCTGGTGACACTTTTGCCCTTGAGGATTTCTCTCCTTCTTTGCAGAGCTCTGAGCACTTCAAGTTTTGCGAAGAGCCGTGCAGGGAGGATCTTCTGCGTTTCCATCAGCCACAGGAGGTGATCAAATGGGGCTTTCCCAGTGCCAGCAAATGTCGTGAATGCCCTGAGACCTGTGCCAGGTCTCTGCTAAGGTCCTGATGTCAAACTGTGGAGACCTCGGACGGCCAGGGACTGCCCTATCTGTGAGTTGGTGCCATCGTCTCGCACCAACACAGCAGTTTGTGCAAGGGGGTGGCCGCCTGATTTTTCAGATTAAGGCAAGAGTATAAACAAGGGAGGATCTTTAGCTCCGAAACCGATTTCTGTCCAAAAGTTTGTTGGCTTTCAGGATGTGCTGGCTCACATGGTGTGTGCAGAGGTTACTTACAGGGTGGCTGGATGGGAACACAGAGAAAGGCAGGAGAGGTATTGGTGCTTTATCAGCCGAGGCAAGCAGTGCATGCATCTCCCTACATTGACGTATGCATCACAGCATATAAATAGATGTCAAGGGTAAGTTCATACAGTGTCAGACTAGAAGGATGTGATGTAACAACTTCATTATCATATTTCTATCTTCCTAATTGCACTCCCCTTAGATCACTTGCAAGGCTATGCTGGATTTCCGTGTAATAGGATCAAGTTTTATTTGATCTTAAGCCTTTTTCAACGGGAAGCTGAAATGAAAGGCAAGATTCAGAAAAGAGCATAAAACTTATTGCCTAAATCTAATACCAGGAGGTATTTTCTCTTAACAGAACTTTCTGCCTGTAAACGTGTGACCCATTTCCCAGAGTCTCCCCGTGCATTTATTCGACACTGGGTACAAGAAATGAACACCAAGGACTTCAGAGGTCGGGTTGGCCATGTGCTAAGCAAAGCAGCAGTGATGTGTAGGGAAGTGATGTTTGGCAGGGTGCAAAAGGAAGAAACACGCCTCCTGCATGGATTATGATTTTGGTTTCAGTCATATTAGTATCTGGTCTCAGACATCACCTCCAATCCCGAAGTACTTTGGGATTCTGTTGTCAATGTTGGGTTTAGTTGCTGGTTATTTTAAGTGACAGTTGTAAGGAAAAAATATGTAGAAAGCCCTCTTTAAAGATGATCAGCTTTTGTAGGAAACAGCCAAGGGAAAGCAACTGGTGTTTGTCATAACATGATAAATTGTGACATAGTGTTCTGCAAAGGATTATTTTAAACTTTTCCTTGTCCTACTGCACTTGTCGGAGACTGACAGGAAAGTCTTGCTGCCTCAAAGTGCTGCTGACAAGATTGAAGGTGTGTTAAGAAAACTGCTTTCTCCTGGGCATGAAGTTATTCTGACAGCCACCAGGCAAATGTATTCCAGTAATCTACTGCCACTTCATGTGCACTGCAGAGAACTGGAGACTGCTGCAGGAAAAATAAGACCTGTGTTAATACTGTGTGAAATAATAATAATACCTCTTCATTCAGTAGAGAAGAATGGGAATTGCAGTAATTATTATTATTTTTTTGCATATGTGCATATCATTATTGCAGTCATTTCACAGATGCAGACATTGAGTTCCCAAAAAGGCATCTTAAGAAATCCCACCTTCAGCTGTATGCTCGCACTTTGGTTTGTGCTGCAGGCTCTCACAAGGGCAGAACTGAACGTGGGTGAGTCTCAGGCTCACCACCAGCCACAGCTGACCTGTGAAGAAGTTGGTTTGACAAACTGGCTTGTGTGGATGGTTGTAGCTCTACGCTATGATACAGAGCCATGGTAGATGCACTCCATCCAAGTATGCCAGGTAGCTGCTCTAATAGGATCTTGCTAAATTGTAGAGTTTCTGGGACAGCGAGAGACGAGTGAAGAAAATGAACAGGAAAAGTTAGTGGAACCACACTGAAGAGTCTTACTGAAGGGTTTTTTTTATTCAATATTAGTCTTATTCATGGCTGCTGTCAGCATGATAATTGCCAGAAAGACACGCAGGGCTCCTGCTTTGGGAACCATCACTGAAAGTTGGGAAGGAGCCCCCTGGCTGGATCAATGCCCGAATGATGCCCGCTGCAGCGTGCTGTGGGCAGCCCGGGGCTGTGTCTGCAAGGACTGGGCTGGCAAAGGGCTGGTGATGGCTGAACCGTGCAGTCTGCACTCCCAGAGCAGCATCTGAGTGCACTTCCAGGGTGGCTAGCAAAGTTAAAAATGCCTTGGCATAAAACCGCTGGGCTTTATCCTCCCCATAAATTTGCCCAAGGACTAGGAGTGTTTTAAGGCACATCAACCTAAAGAAGTTTTAGAGTACGCCGGAAAAGAGCTATAGTGCTGCAATTTACAGCCAGGAACATTCACCTGGACAATAAGAAGCCTGGTGCATTGAGCTGAAAAATATGCTGCAGTGTATGGTATTGGCTTGTTTGTAATAAAACACTAGCCTGGTACATTTTATTGGTTTTACAGCCATTTATTGTTTTGTTTTCAGAAATACAGTATGTAAGCAAAACCAATAAAATAGTTTATTACATGGTAATTGCTCAAGAAGAGAAAGGCTTATCAGAGGAGGCATCGCGTGATCTCTTAGAAGTACTTGGTGGGTCTTGTGTATCCAGAGACAAAATGGAGGGGGATGGCTGAACACCATCCCGAGTCCTCTGTTGTCTTTCCTGGGGCTGGACAGAGAGTTTTCACAAGGTCTTGGACAATTTCCCATGTGCTTTATCAGTAGGAGCACAAATGAGCCAAGAATGCAAAGCAGCAGCACAATATTTACTATTGGCCGTTCATCAGGCTTTTATTAAAAGGGCTCAGCTATGTGGTGAGTGAGCAGGGAGAACACGAGGACACTTCTGAGACCAGGCACAGGGAAAGCAACAGTCTGTCAAACTGGGATTGCGTTCAGGTGGCCAGCTGTGGCTGTCTTACCCACTGCAGATTTTTCTCTCAGAATTTTCAGTGTGCTTGCTTGAATTCAAGGCTAGGCTCTGCAAAGCCCTCCCTACATTCTCACCTCTTTTTGCCTGAGTGGGTATGTTACCTCGGTAAGGCTTTGCATATGATAAAAGAACAGGTCCATGTGGATGTTTGTAGGATAGGGGCCTTGGATTTCAGCACAGTGAGAGAAATCAGTGAGTGGCAAACCAGCCTCATAGGGCCAAGTCCAAGGAAACAGCACTGAAAGGAAATCACACTTCCGATGATTTAGAACAGAGCTGAGTTTACTGTGGTTTATGCTCGGAATTCTACCAGTAGTCCCTAGAATTGGGCAAAATAAATGGCAAAACACTGTGTTGAAATAGTTAGGGATCAGATTGTCTTGGAACCTTTTTCCCAGTTACCACTGCTCAGCTCCTGTACACGCCAGCACCCGGCAGCAAGCAGCTCTTCCAAACAACAAAGAACTTTTACTGTATAGTATTAAATTTTCCAACCCTATTGAACAATTTCCGTACAGGTTAGAAAAAAAAAAAAGGGAAAACATTTTTTCCTGACTTTCAAAGGTGCAGGTGATCTCCTTTTCAGAGGTACAGAACAGTCAGGGACTGTCTCCAGCTTTCAGCATGCTGCTTTGGGCTATCAGCCATCAGAGGACCACTTCTCCCTGAAGGATACCTTTGGGAAGCCACATTCCTTCCGTACATGCAAAGAACCTGAGCTTCCACCTGGCCTTACAAGTAAGGAGTGTTTGGTGCCTGCTCAGCTCCACCTGCAGCCTTTCAGCAGCCCGCGGTGTTGCTGTGTCCCGTGCCCCGTTTAGCCTCTCCACTCAGCCATCTGTAATCAGGCAGCTCTTTCCAGCACACCCACTACAGCTTCATCCTCGTACCGCAGGAACCAATTCCAGGCTATTACTGCACTGCTTAATGATCCTGCTCAGGCTGTTTTGGAAGAGTAGTCCTTAGCTCTGCTTCTCACCCCAGGGATTTAAATAGGCTCGTATATCAAGGCCAAGCCTTGATAATTCCTTTATTTCTGGTGGCATTTTAAATCACATGGAAACCAGGAGCTGCTTCTGAGCAGGAAAATGACTTCCTGCCATTAGGCAGCACCCATCAGCAACCAAGAGCACTCCAGAAATTTATATTCTTAACTCTGGACTTGCTCCTATCTAGTGGATTGGGCTGGGACCAACAAATTGCTGTTGCAAATGTTAAATTCCTCATCAAAGGATTTGCTTTCAGTGGTGTGTTTTTGTAGTGAGGCTTTGTTTGTTTGTTTGTTTTGAATTTTTATCTGTGTTTTACTTCGCTTACAAGCCCATGTACAATTCCATATTACTATTTTGAGCAGTGTCTCTGCGAGCTAGCACAGCAACTCCATGTTTTAGTATACTCAGCCCTGTGTGCCCATCTACTCTGGTTTCTTTGTTCTGAATTTAAATTTCTTTAGCCTGCGAGTTAAGTGCTCGTGATAACATGAAGGGAGCAAACCACTTTACATCTTTCAAATCAAAATGAGAACTTTTATTTTGAAGAAATAATCTGCATTATAGCAATGATGAGCAATTACAACAAATTGGTAGCATTTCAATAATCATAATCCCATTGCCTTGTTGAGAAGGCACAAGTGCACATTTTGAGAACTCCTTTACATACGACTAAGGTCATCCTTCTGAAATGACAGATTTCCTGACCTTTTCCCTCTTCAGCAGGATTTTCACTGAGCACGCTGGTTCTGCAGAGTAATTGTTGGTAGCACTCCTGAACTCCAGGTACTATCGGTTGAACTTCTACCAGCGTGTAGATATTTATTTCCAGAACATGAAATTCTCTTGACCCTTCTTGAGTTCTGACAGAAATTATTGCAGAAGGATTTCTTTGTAAATACTGTTGTTTAAATAGAAGTTTATCAGAAAGACAGGAGAAGATGATAAAGTTCTTTCATTGGAGACATCTTTATGGAACTTGGAAGTTCCCTTTTGTAATTGTGCCTAGGGGCTAAAATTATCTTCCAAGTAAACTACAGAGGTTGAAAACAGTAGAAAGACATAAAAATGCCTGATATTTCTCATTCAGTCACAAAATCAAACCTAGATCTTATTTAAGGTGCAACTAAAAGCTGACAACAGTCTAAATATGTACTGAATTTCAACCCAAGATTTGCTACACAATGTAAATACTCTGACATATTCACTGCTTAACACTAATCAAGCAATTGGAACTTAATTCATTGATATAACTTGTTTGTGAATGTTTGTGGAAACCATGCAACATCACAACTATGCAAAGTTGCTCTGTGTTGGTTAATGACAGGAGGCTTTTTGTCAGTGTTTGTGCCCTGATTAAATTCTGTATCTCACGAATTCAGTATCTTTTTGGATTTTGCTATTTTTAGAGTTACAAAAGGGTTTATTAAAAACTATTGAAATTGCAAATCACAGTGGTCCCATATTTTTAAGACAGCAAAATTCAAGGGTCAGACAAGCAGACATTACATGTTTTCCTTATCAACACTGGTGCAAGAGGAGTAGCATGTTCCAAAGCCAGTCCCACACTGCTGAGAGCAGCAGCCTTGTGTGTTTTTTGCAGCTTCGGATCCATATGGTGCCGTCCAAAGTCTCCCTATGAATATTTCTCCTTTTTTTTTTTTTTTTTTTTTTAAATGAAGTTCTAAAGATATATCCTTCTGCCACATAATATTTGCCTGCAGTCTGGTTCTTCTACCCACGCTTTGTCCATCTTAGCTGTTTCCTCCCGGCCAGCAGCGAGGAGGTCAGGACGTGTGTGCCTGCGGGTGTTTGGCACATGGACGTACAGTAATGGGGAGTGCACTGAGCTCCTTTAACCGTGCTTGCATTTCTGATGTTAGCTCTTGAATTCAAGTACATCTTTGGTCTGTCTTTGTATTCAAGTTGATTGAGAGGGTTTAACCATATACAATATTCAAATTGCTTTTATGCATGAAAAGATTTTCAAGAAATCAATGCACTCTCCGAGTGAAATAATTAATACATGAACTGCCTGCCCTTTAAAGACAGTAGTAATGCTCCTTACGAAGACCAATGTACTAATATTACATGCAGTAATGTACTTTTTAAAAGTTAAATTCTTCATCGTTGGTATTTGAGTAGGACACAGAATTAGGCATGCCAAGCTGTATTTATTAGCAGAAAACTGATTATTATTACTGACCAATCTGCTTTTTAATGATTCAGCGAGCATGTTGGTTTTTATAGTAATGAATACGGGGCTCTTAATCAGGTGATCTGACAAGTGTGCAATTTGCCTGGAAAATTATGCTGTACTGAAAGTGTTTTCGTGAAGAATAAGAAAGGGGAAAAAGTACTATAAAATGTTGGCATTTAGAGGAAAAAGAGACAGGAAAAGTGAAGGAACAACACCGCAATACTTTGCTTCTGTTGTCTATATGCAGATATTTGGCCGAAACTCCTGTCTGTGCCTAGCTGAAAGCAAATTTAAGGTCTGGTTTTGTTCCGTTCCATTGGAGGTGAAAGTAATGGTTTGTATAACAGAGGGTGGTGTTGGAGCTATGAAAGACTGGAGTAAGATCAGATGGGTGCAGTCTCCTTGTGCTCTGGTGGCATGCTAACCTCCCTTCCTAACTTCACTTGAGGCAGCGTGTGTTCCCCAGAAGAGACACCTTTGCTCTTCTCAACTTTCTGAGTCTTAAGTATCAGAATTTGTGCTTCAAGAGAACTTCCTCTGAAGGCATTAAAAATTGTATATAAATAAAAATGGTGGAAGCCACTGTTGCCTATTACATGGGAGGACCAGGTACACCGGTGCTTATTTTTCTCCTCCTCTCCATTTTCTGCTCTTCCCCAGCCAGTATGCAAATACTCTATCAGGATTTCAAGGTAACAGGTGTGTTTTCTTTAGTTGCCGTGGAAAAAAAAAAGTGCACAAATATGACAGACAATGGAAGCATGAAAGAATTCTGCTTTCTTGTTCTTAAAGGACTAAATGGAGCAAGGAGGCAATTTCAAGTCTAGTCTCATAAATACCCTTATTTTTTTCTCCTAGGTTCAGTATTATTTCTATATGTGCACTGACCCCATACAAAACAGGGTGTGAAGCTGGCAGAGAAAAAACACCATCAGTGAATCAATATAGGTGAACTAACCTCGACTCCAGAAGTAAAAGTGCATTGGAGAGAAGCAATATTGCATTATTTTTGTATTGTCTGCAACACCTAAGCCTTGAGTATCATTTGGAAATATAAAAATGTCCTTTTATCTACATTGTTAAACTGAAAGGATTCCCTATCTATTTGCTCTTTGTCATCAAAGGCTGTTGTCAATGATTGCATGGTATTTTGTATTGTCTTCTGTTAAACTCCAAAATGATTGTTTAGATTGAATGCCTGCAGTGAGCACTAGGTAAGTCAGAGTACGTTGTAGATCCTTCCCAGCCCTGGGAGATGGCTGCATCACTCAGTAACATCTTTTCTCTTTATTACAATCAGAAGGAGCTCTAGTGCTTTTGTTCCACGATGATGAAAATTACTCTTTTTTTAACCTGTCTGGAAAGCCACTTGGTGGTGTGAAATTTGGTCTAGAGAAACTGGAATGTTAAAGCTTATATTTATGCAGGGGTTAGTCAAAGATGCGTGCAGCTGACCCTGCCAACAAGTAAATAGCTTAGAAGAGTTTGCTGTAGTGTCCATCCCTCAGAGACAAAGCTCTCTGTAGTTATTCATTATTTTCTTTATGCAAAACTTGAGAGACTACCAAAACCTGGGCCATGTTATACCAAGTACTCCATAAATTCCAAACAGCAGATGTTCTGTGCTCTGATGAGCTCACCG